AAAAAAAAAAAAAAAAAAAAAAAAAAAAAAAAAAAAAAAAAAAAAAAAAAAAAAAAGCCCATGAAATTCTGTTTTGGAAAGTGGTAGGGACGTGGACAAAGATACTCTACTTACGAGAAACTTTATTTTATTTTGTACAAATTTAATATTTATTTATTTATTTATTTATTTATTGTAGCTTTCTATTTTCAGCTTATAATATGAATTTAATTCAAAATTTAAATATACGAAAGTCAAATTAATATTTACAAATTTCAAATTTCAAATAATAAATTATAATTTAAATATTATTACAGAAGTATTGTGAAAGAAGATGGGCGATGTTGTTTTCATGGACAAGGCATCAGAATATCGGCAAAATTAAAAATTAAAAATTAAAAATTAAAAATGGAAATATGCGGTGACGTCACCGTTTCGGAACCCGTGCGCACCGGGTTCATGCCGCATCTGATCACTTCCTCCCCCCCCCCCCCCCCACCCCCCCCAGCCGTCTTTCATAGAAAGCCAAACGCCTTTGCTCAAATGATCCTCCCAACCACTTTTTTATTTACTTTTTTATTTATATTTAAATAATATAATAATTTTTGTATTTATTTATTTATAATAAGAAACCTCCACACCTCCCAATCAATATCTCCTCCCTCAACCTTCAACTTTATCCTTTCCTTCTCCCACAAGTTTTCTTTTCTCGAATTAAAAAATGATTATATTGAGTTAATTTTTATTTTTTTAATTAATTCCACGTTATTCCAAGGTTATATTAATAAAATAATAATTTAACGATATGATAGTGAAAAAAGTGGAAGTGCTTTATAATGAAACATCTCATTCAAAGGCCTACAAAATGGAGGAGAAATCTTATTCTTTTTCTTTTTTTTTTTTATTATTATTATTATTTATTTATTTTCAATGATTTTGTCAAAGAATAATTTCTTTTAGTACAATAATTATTAAATTTTATTATTATTGTTATTATTGATTTGAATATAATCAGATTGTGGAATAGAATCTGATTGCACTCTTCCTTAAAAATGGAACAAAAAGAGAATATGAATTATGCATTTTTATTTTTTTTGTTTGGATTCTAAAATAATCCATTTAGAATCAATTTTTAAAATATATTATTAATTTTTATAATTCTTATACGTGAAAGTAAATGACGTATTTGTTGTTGAAGAAATGCGAAACTGGCTCAATAGTCAAGAGTGTAAATGTCATTTAAAACGTCGTTATACCGACACGCAAACGAACGTCAGCTCGACGTTGTAAATGCCGACATTTTATTTATTAACTATTAAAATAAAAGCTAACCCATTTTGTAAATTTCATAATTGACATATTTTTGAATTTGAGAATTGGAGTGGTCCGTGATTAAAAAAATAAAATAAAAATAAAAGTAAAAAAACTTTGGGGAGGAGAGAGAAAGTGATGAGAGAGAGAGAGAGGTTCCCAATAAAGTAAGACTTATTTTTGTGTGGAGGGAAACAGGTACACGTGAGACTTGCATTCACTTCAGTACTTTTCCTTTTTATTTTTTATTTTTTATTTTAACTATTTAATTTTTGTCCCGTGGTCCTCTCCATTTTTTTTATTATTAATTTACTTGGAAATTTGTTTTTATTTCTTAGGCCCAATCTTCAAACCCATAGTTTGGCCCGAAAGGCCCAAAAGGCCCAAATGTTTGGGCTGTTGACAACATGTTAATGGGTCGATTTCATATTCTTCTTGTTCAATCTATGGACTTCGACCAGCGCCTGGATGAAGCTACGAAGTGAAACCAGAGCAAATTCAACGAGACAATATGGCCATTGCCCTGTTCTAATCTCCAACCTATTTGGGTACCCAAAAGGGTCTGTGCGTGTGTGTGTGTGTTCGTGGCTCAACATTAATCGGAAACCTATCGTTGTGGGTATTCTTTCCTTAAACCCCATTTCTTGAAATCTTATCTCGATCTTGGGTTTTCTTTTGTAGTGTCTTTCTTTTACGTGGTTTGGGCTTTTCTTCAACTTTAAATCTCCTTCCCTTGTTTATCACTTCTTTGATTTTGATCATCTTTTCGTCATTTGTGCATCTTTCGCCGCTTGATTTCGTTTTTTTAATTTGTTTTTGTGATTCTTGCTCTTTTTTAAGCTTTGTGTTCAGGACTGCAGATTCTTGATTTTGGCATTTTTCTTTGATTTATGGTAATGTGGACTCTTCTTATCTTCAAACCTTGTTGTTTTTCTTTTTCCCCTTTCATTCTTCGTTGTTAATGTTCTTGTGGTTGTCTGCGTTTCTAGCCTTTTTTTGGAACTCTGGTTTGCATTTCATAAATTTTTAGATTATGCGAATCCATATTAACAACAAAATGAATCATTGGGGGTGAACTGTAATTCTTAGTCATTGATATTTGAGATTCTATGCGTTGTGTTAGGTTGAAATTGATGTCGCATTCGATAAGATTGTTTATTATATCTACTTCAGATCATCCCTTCTGACAAAAGTTTGAGTATCTCCCTATGAATTAGTAAATTAGGCACTACTAAAAAAAAGTTGTGATAAGAAATGATCAATTTTTCGGCTCGCACCATGGTTAAGCGGGGGAAGAAGCTCGACTGGATCCCCCCACTGACTTGGCCAGTGCGTGCCTGCCCCCATCGGATTCCTATCTAATGACTTGGGACGTAATCGGGGAGAACAAAAAAATATTGCCTTGATGCCATTTGTTGTCGTTGATTGTTGGGTATTACGACTTTCTACAATGTTATGATATTGTCCACTTTGAGTACAAGCTTTCATGGTTTTGCTTTTGGTTTCCCTGAAAAGTCACGCACCAATGGAGATGTTTTTCTTATTTATAAACCAATGATCAACCTCTTAATTAGTCGATGTGGGACTCCTCTCCCAACAATCCTCTACCATCCTCCCCTTGAGCAAAGTACACCATAAAGCCTCTCCTAAGGTCTATGGAGCCCCTCGAACAACCTCCCCTTAATTGAGGCTCGACTCTTTTTCTCTAGAGCCCTCGAACAAGTACACAATTTGTTCAACACTTGAGTCACTTTTGACTATACTTTCGAGTCTCTCAACTTCTTTGTTCGACATTTGAGGATTCTATTGATATGGCTAAATTAAGAGCATGACTTTGATATCATGTTAGGAATCATAACTCTCCATAATGGTATGATATTGTCCACATTGAGCATAAGCTCTAATGACTTTGCTTTTGGTTTCCCCAAAAGGCCTCATACCATTGGAGATGTATTTCTTACTTATAAACCCATGATCAACTTCTTAATTAGCCGATGTGGGACTCCTCTCCCAACAATCCTTAACATTGATGGTTGTTGCAGTAACATCGGTGGCATCGAAATGCGTTCAAAATGACCCACTTTATAGATGATCCCTATACACACTTTTGAATGTAAGACGTTTCCACTACGTAAGGAAAAACTTGAATTATTGTCTCGGTTCACTGTTGTAAACCGTTGTTTCATCTAGTGCCATCCTTTTATCCTCTTTAGAACAATGAGTGATATGGAACACATTGTGTCTTAGTTTTTTTAGTGAAATTTTATTTTTAATTGGTCCAATTAAAACGTTTGTAATTCTGCATTTTGTACCAATGGAATGCTTTCATTTGCTGATTTGTTCTTGTTTTATCTTTTATTTCTGCTAATTCCTCAGGCTACACCACCATGAGTATTGGTTCAATCAGTGTTTGCACGAGGAACGTTATCCCTCTGAACTTCCGTGTTTGCACACAGATGGGCAGCAACATCTGTACGGTGCTTTCCCGAAGAACACCAACTTCATGCTGTTCTTATGGAATTTCAAGACCAAAGTATACTGATCAATCTGTCACGATCATATCATCTTGTTCACCAAACACTTGCCAAAGAATTCAGGGAGGCTGTCTCAGTTACTGCTTCTCGAGACGGCCAAATGACTTTGAGGCTTTAACGGTTAAGGATTTGGTCACCAACAGAGGATCGCGTGGAAGAGGACTTGAAATTTCACTGGCTTGCAAAGGTATGAATGCAAAGATATCAGTCCCCAGTGATGGGATGTGTAGCAAAATCAAGTATAACATGCGATGGCCAGAAAGATGTGCTTCTGCTTCTGCTGGCTTAGTTTTTGGATGGGTGGTTTGTTGTTCCAATTCTGAACCAGTCCATGCCGAAGCAGCCTATGACAAAAAGGGTAATGAAGAAAACTATGATTCATCTCATGTCAAATTCTCTCGTGGAAAGAAGGTTTACATCGACTATTCTGTCATCGGTGAGCTTCGAAGTCTTCCATTTCCTTGTTTTACATTAAATCGTGTTAGTAAAGTAGCATAGATTAAGCAACCTGTTTGTTCTGGACAGGAATTCCCGGAGATGGACGATGTTTGTTCCGCTCGGTTGCTCATGGAGCTTGTTTACGATCTGGGAAGTCAGCTCCGACTGAGAGTCTTCAGAGAGAATTGGCAGACGAGTTGCGGACTAAAGTACGTTACACACATCCTACTGTAGGTATTAAGATTCGTTTTTACTTAAAATCCTGGATCACCCATCTTTCAGGTTGCAAATGAGTTTATCAAGAGACGCGAGGAAACAGAATGGTGAATCAATCTCTCTCTCTCGACTTGAGTTTCATATCAATGGCGTTATTTTTGTAGGATAAAACATGAACAGTTGGTTGTGTTGTCAACAGGTTTGTGGAAGGCGATTTCGATACTTACGTGTCGAATATGCGAAAATCGCACGTCTGGGGAGGTGAGCCGGAGTTGTTCATGGCTTCACATGTTCTTCAGTAAGCTCTTGCTCTCACTGCGTGTGTGTGGGTGTGTGTGGGT